ACGGAGCCCGCTAAGGAGGATAAGCCCTCCAACTGACCCGCTACGGCGGCTGCCCCCTCAGTGCCTGTGACCCCCCCGGGGGGGGAAGCTACGCCAGCCCCACTGGCGGCTACGCCACCGAAGCCGGCCGCTACACATACAAAGCCGCTACGGGTGCTCTACCTCTTCTCGGGTACCTCGCGCCGGCTAGATGTGGCGCAGTGCTTGCACCAGCTAGCGGCAGAGTGGGGAAAAGACGTGAGGGTCGAGTGTGTCGACCTGCTACGGCACGCTAAATACGACCTCAGTCAGCCCAAGATTCGGCAAGGCTACCTGGACCGGATCGCTAGCAAGGAGTTCGACGCGGTGGTGCTCTCCCCGCCGTGCGCTAGCTTCTCCAGAGCACCTTGGGCTAACTTTCAAGGGCCTCGCCCGGTGCGCAGCTACGAGTTTCCCCGAGGTCTGGAAACGCTAACACCTGCAGAGCGAGACCGCGCTATCCTGGGCAACATTTTTGCGGATTTCAGCTTTGAGGTCGCTAACCTCGTGGCCGACGGTGCAGCTACTTTCCTTGCCATGGAGCAGCCCGAGGACCTTGGGGCCCTCGCTAAGGGCCCGCACCAAGGGACACGGCCGGCCTCTATGTGGCAGTGGCCGCCGCTAGCCGACCTTCTGCAAAAGGGGCTACGGACCGTGGCCTTCCACCAGGCTAGTTTTGGGACGCCATATGCTAAGCCGACACGGCTGCTGCTAAAGTGCTCTTCTGCTATGCCCGACTTTGTACACGAAGGCCTGCCGTGCTATGACAAAAAGGGCTGCTACACAGGACCGCTGCCTTCTGCTGCTACTCTGGGCCGCATGTTCAAGCGTCCCGCTAAAGGCCCCTTCAAGACCTCAGGTTCCGAGAAGTGGCCCGCTAGGATGTGCCAGTGGCTGGCTACCCTCATTCTGGACTCCTGCCAGCACCCTGCTACCGCTGCCCAGGGGGAGGGGGGTGGCGCTAGGCCGGAGTGCCCGCTACCCGAGACCTTCCCGACCTGTGAGCCGGAGGGTCCGCGAGTGCTAGGGGGTTCAGGACCACCAAGGACCTGAGCTACCATGATGGTGGGGGCCTCTGCTCTCCAGGACGCTGGCCCCACGCTACTCGCAGCTACGCCGAAGGCCCCAACTGGGACTGGCTACGGGAGAAAATGATGGAGGTGATCCTCGCTAAGATAGGTTCGGAAGCGGAGCTAGAGAAGGAAGCCTTCCGCATGGCTGCCGGGGGGGCCACGGGCTGTGCCCTAACTAGCTCCGAAGATCTCCAGGAGCAGCTACGCTTGATCTGGAAAGAGTGGCTGGAAGCTAACGACCTGGGTGACCCGGAGCTGCTAAAGGTGGCCCCGGGACAGCCGCTATACCTCCGCCTCATCCGGGCGCTACTGACCGCGGCCGGCGATCCCGACAGGGACTTCCTCCTCCCGGCCGAGGAGGGGCTACCGGTGGGGGTGAGGGACCCGCTACCACGCACTCCCCACGTCTTCGAGGAACAGCTAAAGTGGCCCTTGGAGAACGCCCCTTGGGAGGCGGCGCTAGCCTGGGTCCCGAACTACTCCTCGGTGGAGGAGGACCGGGAGTTCGCTAGGGAGAAGTTCGAAGAGGACGTGGCGGAGGGCCTCATGGTCAAGATGACGCTAGGCGAGTTCAAAGCCCGCTATGGCGAGCATCGAGCCATCGCCGCGCTAGCTGTCATCGTCGAGGACGAAGCTAGTGGAAAGAAGAGGATGATCCACGATGCTACCCACGGGGTCCGGGTCAACCATCGCATTAAGTGCAGGGACAAGATCCGGGCCCCAGGAGCTAGGGAGAAGAAGCAGCTACTTCGGGAGCACATCGACGCTAACGAGGTGGCCTTCTCCGTGGTGGGTGACATCGCTAAAGCTCACCGACGCTACAAGCATGCCGAAGGAGAGCATGGCTACCTAGGGTGCCAGATCGACACCGAGGAAGCTACACCGGGGGACCCCGACAGCCAGACGGTTTACGTTAATCTGGTGGGGACCTTCGGGCTATCATGCGCGAGCTACTGGTGGACCCGCATAGCGGCGTGTGGGCTTCGACTCACATACCACCTGCTAGGGCCATCGTTCCCGCTAGACATGCTTCTCTATGCCGACGACCTCGAGTCATTGGGCCGAGGGGCTAGAGGACGCATGGGGATCCCGCTAAGCTATCTCTTCCTCGCTAGTCTTGGGTACCCCTTCAAGGGGGCCAAGACGAGGGGGGGATTTCGGGTGGAGTGGCTAGGCATGGAAACCGAGTACTCCACCTGGAGGCTAGGCCTGTCTCAGAAGAGAACCGACTGGCTAGTGGAATGGCTACGGAAGCTAGTCCGAGATGGGAAGTGTGAGGCCCGGCCCTTCGCACAAGGGCTAGGGCGCCTGGGGTTCGCTTCCATGGCGCTAGACTGGGAGCGCCCCTTCCTGGGACCGCTACACGCTTGGTCTTCGGCCGTTCAGGGGAAGCTGGGGCTCCTCACGCTACCCACGATGATTCGCGTCCTCTGTGGCTGGCTAGCAGACCGCCTGGAAGCGGGGGGCCGTCTCCAGAAGCCGGCCTCGCTATTGGACGGGGCGGCACCGCTCTCCTTCTACACCGACGCTAAGGCCGAGAATGGACGGGCCTGGATTGGGGGCTTCCTCGAGCTAGTGGACGGCTGCCACGGTCCCTGGTTCTCGCTAGAGGTGAAGAAGGAATGGGCCCCCTGGGCCTTCGCTAAAGGAGACCCGAACAAGGTCATAGCTGCGCTGGAGCTACTGGCTACTCTGGTTGGTGTGAGGCTCTGGGTACCGGAAGGGGACGCTAAGAAGACCTCCAAGGTGGCCATCCGTGGCTACACTGACAACCAGTCCAACGAAGCGCTACTGAAGAAGGCTATGACGACGAAGTTTCCATCGACCTTGGTGTTGATGGAGCTAGCAGAGGAACTCTCCGCTAAGAACTGTGAGCTTCAGCTACAGTGGATCCGCAGAGATCTGAACCAGCTAGCGGACGATCTCACGAACGAGAACTTCGCTAGTTTCTCCCCGGACTTCAGGGTGAACCTGGAGGGGGAGAAGCTAGAGTGGCGCAGCTAGCTACTTCCAAGAGCTAGGAGTGAGGAAAAGGACCGGAGAGCCTAAGGCTCCGAGGTTCGCTAAGAAGGCCCGTAAGCTAGGTCCCTGGTAGCCCTACGGCTGCGCAAGGAGATTAGCTAGCCAAAGGCTAGAGTTCTTCTCCGGGCTAACGCGGGACTTCGCCACAACGCTAAAAAGAGAGAAGTTCGTGTTGTCCGTGCTACTGCGTGAAGCCAGCTAGCTAAGCTAGGCTTGCTACGTACTCCCCGGAGGTGTAGAGGGAGGTGGCGGGAGGATACGCTAGCTAGTGTACGCACTCGTGCCGAGGGACGAGGTACGACAGTGTATGCTAGCGCCAGTATCCCTCGGGGAAACATCGAAGGTGTTTCGCTAGAAAACGTCGAAGGGGTTTTCCTCTGAAGCTAAACAGAACGAAGCTTGTCTGTTTGCTAGAGCGCCTGCACATGGCCGGTGAAGCAGTGCTACTCCGTGGCCATTGTGCTGAAAGGCCCCCAGCTATTGGGGGGCAAATTTCGAGTGCCCACCCAACCCACCCTGGAGATTAGCTAGCCAAAGGCTAGAGTTCTTCTCCGGGCTAACGCGGGACTTCGCCACAACGCTAAAAAAAAGAGAGAAGTTCGTGTTGTCCGTGCTACTGCGTGAAGCCAGTTAGCTTAAGCTAGGCTTGCTACGTACTCCCCGGAGGTGTTGTAGAGGGAACTGAAGGTGCAGGTGAGGGATACGATAGCTAGGTACTAATACGATTCCTCAAACCCGCTCGAGAAATCCGCAAAGGTCGCCAAAATCCGCTAACTTTCGGGCTAGATTTTATAGCGAAAATATCCGCACGCTTATGTTTTGGTTTGCTTTTTTTTAAGCACCACCCCCCCCCCCACCTTTCGCTTGCTTCACGCTCTGAGAAATCGCGAAGCCGCTTCTTTCAGGGTCTGATTTGTCGCGACGTGTTTTCTTTCGGGCTCTCAGAATTCCGGAACCCGAAACTTGTCTGTGTTTATCCGTTTTTTTAGGCTCTGATTTTCTTGCAAATCCCCACATGTTTGAGGCTTTGATTTTTCGCCCATGCATATGGCAGGTGTTATGTAATAAGTTAGAACGTCCTTAGAGTCTTCAACGCTCAGAGTTGTTTGATTTGATTGGGTTGAGACGGCTGAGCTGCTGTCACGTTTCGCACACGCAACGGGACCGAGCCGCTTTCGTCTGTTTGTGGAGGCGGCTCCGCCGCTCTAATTAATCGAGAATGCAAGACGGCTGAGCTTACTCATTCGAGGCGGCTGAGCCGCTCTGTCCAGAGGGAGGCGGCTTTAGCCGCTCTCGTGTTCGGATAATGATGAATTCGATTCGAGGCGGCTAACCCGCTCTCGTTCGCACACAGAGAGGCGGCTGAGCCGCTCTCATATCCAGATTCGACGAATGCAAGGCGGCTGAGCCGCTCTGAGTCATCTTACATTATAATATAATTTTATAATCGAGGCGGCTGAGCCGCTCTCCTTCGGACACTGCATTTCACACGAATTCACAAGACAGTGCTAAGTAAGTGGCCCGAATTACTAATTTATCAGCAATCTGTGACCCCGCTTGTGTCAACGACCTATGTTCCGTCAATAGGTTCGGAAAGGAAGTCAGAATTCTTTATAAATCAGAAATACCCTTGCCTTGTAATACAATAGTTCTTCCCTGTACATAAATAGTAAATGGAGATTCACCTATCAAGAATAAGATGGGCCGATGAAATAATCAAGTATGCCGTTACTTATCCAGAAACCTAAACCCTAGGGTATAGACTACCAATCATGGGTGCCCCAGCAGTAGTACGTTCCTCCAGGTTTGCAATTCCAAGTAACGAACCCTTTTTCGCAAACTTAGCTATTTTTAATTTATAGCTACACATTCGGAACTGTGTGGCAGGTGCTGGTGATCACAAATCGTCGACCCGAAACCACGGAGGCTTTGATCTGGGATCATTGGTCGGCTACTTTGACATGCCTCCTGGAGCTCAGCCTTTATGGCCTTTACTTGCAGAGCCCGCCTGCCAAGCATGGTGCTCTGTTGGTGGACACGAAAGAGTCCAGGGATGATGCAAAGGTGCAGGAGGAGATCCAGCAAGAAATGAAGCGAGAATGGGACTTGGTTCTGGAGATGGAGGATGATGCTGCCTCTCGCAATATCCTCTACAAGGCATGTCCCTGGGTGGGCTATCAATGCTTTCGCGAGGTTCCGACATTTTTGTCAGAGCGGGCCTGGAAGCTTGATGGTGCCGGGCGAGAACTTTTGGAGGCCTGGCATCCGAAGGTTGGAATGTCAGCGAATGTGGAAGATATTTTCGCGAGCATTCAAGACAGTGTGCTCCGGTCCTCCAAGAACAATGACTCGGCCATGTGCAACATCCAGTGCTGTGCGATCCGCTCCTTCCAGAAACGCATGTGTGGCGACGACGGCCCCTCGACGACCGACCTGAGGTCCGAGGACTTCGAAGGTGCCAGTGTTCGTGGCATCAAGCCGAAGATCTGGCAGCCGGCTGCTGCCGCCACTTGCTACTTGGACGGGGAACACACCGTGTGCTTTCGTTGTCTGCCAAACTCGAAACACTTTTGCCGCAGAAATCATTTTCGTTGGAAAAGTACGTTTTTTGGTTCCCACTATCCTTACACCCAGGCGATGAGCTGGACACGGACCAGATCCTCAAGCCTTTCGAGTCCACCACTGCCTTCAACCACTGCAAGAGCCAACTGAATTGGTTCAAGGTTTTCCTGGAAGCCAAGAGGCCACTCGACAGACAATGGTAACTCTCCGAACGATTCGGGACCATTCTTAAGATTTCCTTATGTGACATGAGATGCCCAATCTCTGATAGGCTGGGCAAGAACATCGTGGAAGCCAGCAGAAACTTTTGGGGGCCGAGTGTGCTGCAACGTGGGCACTTGGTGCACGTGGACGGCGCTTTTTTCGTTTGCTTGGGTGGCACACCTGCTTTGATGTATGCAACCCGGTTGCATGTTCAATTCTACCACCCTGTGTCTTGGCTTTCCATTGAAGTACCACTGCATGATCCAAGGCCCTTCCTTTGAGGGAGTTTGACATCGTGTTCGAGGGCAGCTTGCCCAAGCGAGCCGTGGACGAGACAAAGGTTTTGGCGAAAGAGGATGGCAGCAAGGAGCCCTCGCCAGATGGACTCAAGGATGGCGAGAGTGTCAAAGTGCTGTCCTTCGTCAGTGGCACGAAGCCCGTCGGCAGTTTTTGTCAATTGACTGAGACGAGCAATCCCGGTCCTAACGCTTTTTCGGTGAGAATGGCCTGACATCAACCAAGGAAGCCGGTTCAGAAGATGCTGTTGGATGTGGGCGAGGCCGAAGCCGAACAGACAAGGCCCCATGTTGAAAACTCTTCCCTTTCTCACGAAAATTTCACAGGCCAGGGTCTTCGACTACACGCTTCACTGGGCGACCGGGCCGCTGGTGATGAAAGTGGGCCTCGCATGCTTTCTCCGAAGGAGCATGCAAGGAGTGTCGGTTCTGGTTTTTCTCATGAAGACGGCAGCGATCCTGAAGCTCACCTCCGACAACTTGTCTTGCTTGCTGCAGCGATATGATGTGGTGACTCGCAAGAACTGTACGAAATCTTTCAAGATTCGGCAGTTGATGAAAGTGCAGGAAGTCACTGCAGCATGCACAGCCGAGCAGCTGGAGAGCTTGGACCAGAAGCTCAACGAACTGGATGCCAAGCGAAGAAAGGACAAATCGGCCCAGAAGGATGATGGCAGCGACCAAGAGGCCGGCCGGATCTGTGGAGATTGCAGGTTTAACAAGCCCTCCAACTTTTTTGGATTCTGGGTGTTCCGTTTACTTTTACCAGCAGACAGGTGCCGGATGAGAACTTCGGCGAGATGATGGACGATCCGGCCGCCGAGTTTGCAGAGCAGATGCTGCGAGAAATCGACGACGAGGAGGACGAGCAGAACGAGGGTGAGCCAGAACAGGCGGCTGCACGTCAGGACCGGACCATTGAAGAGTACTACATTCATTCTTTGTTGTCAATGGTTGTTTTGAGGCATTTCCTAAGCCAGTTAGCCTGAGCCGCCCAAGCTCGCAGATCTACAGGATGAAGATGCCGGCTCTGCGGCAGATGCCGCTGCAGCTGCTGAGCCTGCAGCTGCTGAGCCTGCAGCTGCTGAGCCTGCAGCTGCTGAGCCTGCGGCACCCGATGGTGGGGAGCGGCTAAGAGAGAGCAGACGGGCTCTCTCTTCTTGCAGTGCAGTCCCTGCCTGGCTCAGTGACAAGTATGCGATGCCCGACCAGTGCACCGTCATACATGTCGTCCACGCCACCCGCACACTCCCGCACTTCCAGATTCGACTCGCTGGAGGCAGGATGCACGATGGAAAGATACTCGTTGGCAGTTTATCTTGATTGTTTTGCTTTTGCAACAAGCAACCACCTGCTGGTCACATGTGTTGCAGAGTTTGAGAAATGCCAGATGCAAGCTGCAAGTTGCAAGTTTCTTGAACTCAGGGCCAGCACAAGTGCATCCTACAATGCGGAAGTCGATGCAATGGCACTGGACACTGGGAAAGACAGCATCAGCAAGCTCGCTGCGAGAAAGAGATCGATGCTGCAGGCCTGGTATATGTGCTGGTGCTGGGCCAAGGCTGCCGAGAATGCGGCCAAGAGGAGGAGGACCACCAGGTGATTGATGTGCGGAGGAGATGAAAAAAGGGGCCGCCCGAAGGGATCTCCCTGATTTTAAGAGCAGCCTCCTGGAGTCCTTTATTACCATTCGGAGATTTCAGTAGACCAACGCCTTTCTGTTGTGTACTAGGTACCACCAACCCAACAGCCGAAGCAGAACGATGATCCGAGCTAGAGGGGACCGCCAAGCAGCACTGCTACGGACACCTATGAAAATATCAATGCATTCGTGTACTAACGTAGTATATTCGTATTTAATTTGTCATATACCCAGTTTCCAACGTGACAATATACTACTTGTTAACGTCTGATTATACTGTATTGATATGCTAACTTGCTAAGACACGAATACTGTAATGTGCAAGTACACTGACACATGGCAATGGTATACTAACATATGGATATACCAAAAAAGTTGTTAGATAATATACGAATATGATAAATGAAGTAGCATACCAGGAGACTCATACACTAATATGTTAATAATCGAAGATAATAGCACACCAATATACTAATGTACTCATGCACGAACGTACGCATGCATTAATATACTAAGAGCATACAAACATACAGGTATACAAACATATTACTGTTCGAATACATTATAATGTGTTGGTATACTAAGCTGTTTATATAATCTATCAGTATACTAATATGTCAAAACTAATTATAGTATTGATTCGCATACTAGCACGTCCGCGAATATTACACTGATGTTAAATTCATCATTAAGACTGATTAAAACTGACATCGACATTGGCACTGGCACTAACACTAATTATCACTAAATATGCTAGTGTACTAATATACGAATACTGTAAAAGGCAAGTACACTGACATGTTCACATGCCATTATGCCAACATATTGATATACCTATAAGCTATTAGGTAAAATACGAATATAGTGAATATAGTAATAGACCACTATATTAATATACTAATATACTACTGCGTTAACATACGAATATCATGATACACCAATATACTAATGTACTCATGCACCAACGTACTAATATATTCGCGCAATCTTCAATTATGCAAATATACTATTGTTCGAATACATTACTGCATTATATTAAGCTCAAAATGTACGAATCAATCAGTATATTCACATATCAAAACTATTTCTAATACTGATACTAATACCAGCACTTCTGTGAATAATAAACAGCTACTAAAACCAGCATTCAGACTGATACTAATACTAACACGAGTACCATTACTGACATTGACATCGACACTGGCACTAACACCAGCACGAACATAATCACGAGTTCATATTTACTATTATTGATATGTATACTTTTATTAAATACTAATACTAATACTGATGCTAATACTAATACTAAATACCAATACCAATACTAGTACTAAAGCAATACCCATCCTAATATCAATACTACCACAAAACTATTACTCATATGAACACTGATACCAGGATTAGGACTACTACGAACAATGACAGCAGTACTAAGAATAGAACCAAGAACAATACATATTAATCCTAACACTAATACTAGTACAGATACCAGCTACTAATTCTAATACTCATACTCATACCAATACTAATGTCACCACTACTGCTGCTACTACTACTGCTACTACTACGACTACTACTACTACTACTACTACTACTAGTACACATACTTAATACTAAAACTAATACTGATACTCATACTAGTCACTAATACTAATACTCATACAAATTCTAATACCAATACTAATGCTACCACTACTACTACTGTGCGACAACTATTGCTAGTACGACGACTACTACTATTAACATCAATACACATACTTAATGCTAATACTAAGAGTAATACTAATTCGAATACTATTACTAATACTAAACATCCTAATATCAATACTACCACAAAACTAATACTAATGCTAACACTGATTCAAGAATTAAGATCTACAAACAGTAATAGTGGTACGAAGAGCAGAATTGAGATTAAGATTGGGACTAGGAGCGCTGCATGCATGTGAAGAAATTTCCAAAAAATGCAAACCATCTAAAAGAACATTTTGGAACTGAGTTTGGGAGAAGTGTCTGTCGCCTATCCGTTGACAGATCCTGCCTGGGGACGCACGCCACCCTTCCCCTTCCCCACGACGGTCTGTCATGGGGGGGGGGGTGAGCATATATATATATATATATGCATATATGCAAGCGTTTGAGATGTTATGTCCGCAACAGGCTTAACAGCACTGGTCGACTCCAGTGTGATGCTCTACATAGAGGCCCGGCTGGCTCTGGCTCCGTCGAGGTCCGTAGAGCCCAGCCAGGACATGGCGGGGATGGACGACGGCCAGTTGTCGAGTGTTCAGCTGGTCCGGGCTCCTGTGGACCCGAAGGGCCCCCATGGCCCCCTCTCCCGAAAATCAAAGCCCTTTCCCAACCCAGATCGTGCCCTCGAGCGTGAGCAACTACTTCGTGGAGAATGCCAAGATTCAGGGACTGCCAGCCGGGAAGGTTTTGCAGCTTCTGTTGAGTCGACAGGTCTGTTCTCGGAAATGTCACCTCGGAGGGAGCCAGACGCTGAGTTGCAGATGCCTTTTGTGTTTGAGTCCTGCGAGTCTGGGTCCTCGGCAGGCGACGCTGAGCTTCAACGCCTACGCTCCCAGTGGCATGGCTTGGGGCTTCATTCTGGAGGCAACCACGCTCCATTCTGTGACGCAGTTCAACAGTTCATGCAGAGATCCAGGTGGGCTCCGCCAGCATCGCCTCGAGCACAGAGGCAGTAACAAAAGCCCCGGGATGGGGTTCCGCGCTTCCTCACCCGCGCTGCCGTTTCTGAGCGCTGCGAAGGCCAAGCTGGCGCAGAACTCCGTCGGCGGAGCTGGTTGCTGGTCCTGGCATCTCATGTGAGCCGATAGGAATCGCTCTCAAACCGCTGCAGGCTGCAAGCCGTTGGAAGTAGCCATCGACAACGCTAGGCTGCTGCGGCCGCTGTGTTGGATCGGATTCTGATGTCTGGTATGTCTGGGTGGCAGGCAGAGCATGCTCTTCACGGACTGGCGATCTGGTGCCAGGAGCTTCCTCTGAAAACATTTTCAGCACGCCTCCGTCCACTACCGGAGAGGACAGACCTACCGCGCGGTCGTCTACGTCGAGGCCGCGGCGACCTCGATGAGCGCAGTGGCCAGCGCCTCGCAGAGCATCCACACGTCAGCGGTGTTGTCCAGCTTTGACTCCTCGTCCGTGAGGAGAGATCGCCACCTACAAGTAGGATCCCCTTAAACCACGAAAGGATGCGGACTTAGGGCTTCAAATCTCGTATGTATGGAGGGGGACTGGATGGGAGTCCATGGAAAGGGTCGGGGGGGTTGGGTTTGGGCTGTGGCTGGTGGCTGGCGGGTCGGCTGCTGGGGCACGAAAGTGCACCAAAATGCTACGGTGACGGCCAAACCTTTGAAGTTGGGTTTTTCCGGACCGATGCTTGCATGGGGCTAGGGAGGTATGTGCAGGCAAAGCCGCTTCCCCCCCCATTCCCACTTTGCTCAAATGGCTTCCTTAGGGCAAGCGTCAGGGGGATTGGATGGAGGTTGGCTGGATGGGGCTGGATGGATGACCTCGAAGGGGAGCTGTCGGTCCTTGCACTTACAAGTGTGCCTCCGATCACTTACTGTGTTTTTGCCATCCGTACAGGTGTCAGCGGCCTGAGAAATTCAGACAGCATCAGCGCAGCCTTAGGTCACGGTGTGAGGAATACTTCCGTTGGAGCCTCGTGACAGCGCTCTCAACGTATCTCAGATTTGGACACGTCGGTGCTTGGTTTGTGGTGCAGAGTGCGGGAGCCATCTTCTTTGTCATGAGACAGGAGACATGATGAGCATCGCCTCTCTCATCAGGTTGCAGCTTCATCGGAACATGATGAACAGTAGTGGAGGTGGACAGCGTGCCTTGATTCATCTACTCATGAGACTCTACGAACCAACTAGTGGGGAAATATTCCTGGATGGCCGGAGTATGACGACCCTGTTTTCGAAGAGTGTTCGTCGATGTTGCGACTTGGTTGCACAAGACACGCAGCTTTTTCTTGCACCATAATTGAAAACCTTACCTGCGGAAGCGGCAGAGACTACACGCGTGCCGCGTGATGAAGCAGTTGAAGCTTGCCGAATATAGCCAACCGCATGAATTCATTCTGACGGCATGGAAGAAGGTTATGACACACACACACACACACACACAAGTCGGCGAGAAAGGAATCATGCTATGTTGTGAGCAGCAGCAGCATTTGGCGATTGCACGGTGCTTCCTGCGCAAGACGCGGATGCTATAACTGGATGCAGCAACATCAGCTCTTGATGCAGAGAACGAGGCAATAATTGTGCAGGTTGCGCTCGAGCTTGCACGGTTATCAAAGTTATCAATGCAACA